GTAAGAGCTATGCAGATTTACTGTGAGAGACATAGTCTACAGATCGATAGAAGCGTGTGGAAAAAAGGCCTTCGAGATAGTTGATGGTTCGAAAGGGATATATATATATATATATGTAGGAGTGGTAAATATTGATCATGGTGTGTACATGTAGCCAGTAGACATGCATACATGGATATGACTAAGGTAGAGAATCGAGGGCGGGGGAGATGAATTGTGACAACGCTGATTCATCGGCTCCAAAGTGATCCGTGAGTCATTGAACATGATCAGAGAACATTTGAAGCCACACGTATTTGTTTCTCAGTGTTCCCTTCATCGTCGGGGCGTATCGGGGAAAATACATGTTTTGTTAGTTCCTTCGTGTTCTGCATTTATTTATTTGAATTAATGATTCCCTGGACACAGACGTAGGACATTTTGCAGTGTTTCCCCCAACGTGGGGTCGTGTCGGGGATATACGTATGAGCGAGTTTTGTGTGGACTATGCTGCAACGCAGGTAGGTACCTTTAAACAAGTGCGTGAGGGTTACAGTAGTAGCCCCTGTAGTGCCCATTTCAAAGCAGATTGCCTTTTGTTTAGGCGAACACTGGTTCGGCTGTAAGGCTCTCATTGGCTGCCCATGGGCTTCCAAGGCTTGGGGTTAGGGTTAATGTTTGCGTTAGGGTTCAGTAGTAACCGCTGTAGTGCCCGTTCCAAAGCAGAGTGCAAATTGTTTAGGAGTACACTGGGGCTCTCATTGGCCGCCGATGGGCTTCCCATGGGTTGTGCTTGCCCATGGGCCTAACGGGGGCCCATAGGTCACTTCTGGGTCACCCATGCATGGGAGTTCCATGGGTCGTTTGGGAAAACTGTACCCTCTAGGGGTGGTCGCATATATATGTGGTATTCGAACCTCAAAGCAAAGCCACAGAAAATATCTATCGTTTCTCGCCCACACGACCTGTGCTACTGCGCACGGAGGAACTTCTACTGTATTTCCATTGTGCAGTTGTAGAAACATGCAGTGAACACCTGCGCCCCTCCACCTTCGAAATTGTTTCCAGAGCGGGTGGACGGGAGAAAGGCAACGTTTGGCTAGGGGTCGTACCAACTCTGGAAGGATAATACCGCGTTTTGCTGTACCTTGCTATTTATCTGCATTTCGACTTGACTATCAGTTGCTTTCCTATGTACTTCATTTCACTTAATTCAGGCGACACACACATCTGCCGCACGGAGCGGCGACGCAAAAAAATAATGATCAACAACATCTTCGAGGCCCTGAAACTCGACCCATGAGATTTGAACCAACACGGACTACAAATGGTAGGTTTGTTGTATGTAGTCTGCTTTTTTTCTCCCGCTCGCAAGAAACATCCGATTGTTCAAAAGTGTAGTCTACAGTTTGTACTTGCGGCGACAAAGTCTTCTTCATTCATACAGAGTATGCGTGGCAGACGAAATGGATTTTCATCTCTACGAATAGGCAAAGAGTCCGATCAGTACCACTGAAATCATAATAAGGAGGTGGTACTTGTATATCTGCGTTTGTTTTCATTACGGCATCACATCTTTCTTCACTAATATTTGTTGCGGTTTCATGCTGCCTTGCTCGAATCGGCACTTGCTGAAGGAAATGCGGCGCGATTGCAATTGTGCGTGAAAATACCTCGACCGGGAACGACTGACTGTAGTTTCTGACAAAATCTGTGTAGTCTAGGCCTCTGACACGATCGCGTCATACGCATGGTGGGGTATGATGTACGAGCGGAACCTGTCTCCAGCTTTCTTCAGCAGCGTTGGGGGCCCTGGCCCCTCGGACTTCAATCTGTTGGCAAACGAGGTTTGGGCTCGTCAACGTCTTGCGCGGTCGGCCCAACCCGCACAAAAACAGGTGCTTCGGCCGCCCGACTTGCCAGCAGCGTCATTGCCAAAAGAATCGCGTGCAGGCCCAGCAGCAGCAGCCGGAGCAGCAGCAGCACGAGAAGCGTCACCACCGCCAGTAATATCAGGAGGAGCTGCAGAAGAAGTAATGACTGCTGATGAGGTCAAGAGACAGCCACGTTCGGACAGCGCACATGCCGCCCCACGTGCTCTTCGCACGACGGGGAAAAAGATGAGACGCGCCGGCAGCGACATTGGCTGTCCCCACATCAGCACCAGAAACACTGGAGGTAATGGCGCCATCTCTTGCAGAAGGCGACCCAAGTCCAACGACCACCGTCTAGCTGCTGGGAAGTACGCAAGGTCAGGGGGCGAACCGGACGATGCCCGCAAGTTCAACCCTGACGTAGAAGCCACCATGCTGAGCGCGTTTGATGGCGGTGGTAAACGAAACCGTGGGGTGAGTGTGTCCGCGATCCGAAGCCTCTACCGGGAGCGGCATGAACGGGAAAAAGAAAAAGCGATGGATGAGGTGCGCCGGTGGTGGCGGTTAGGTCGCTCGGAAGCAGGTCCCCTAGCAAGGGCAACGTTAGCTGCTTCGATTCTGCTAGCCTCTGGGGCGAAGGAGGGCAATGGCCGGGAGTATCATCGTCAGCTTCCCCACGCTGAAACTAGTGACACACTTGCCGAGTCAGATGTGTGCCTCGAGTCTCCCGATGGAGGATATTGCCGCAGCGTGGCCGACGACGCCAAGTCCATGATGACGGGAAGCATATCCTCTGCAAGGCAAAGCCGCATTGCTGTGCGACAGTGTGCTGAAGACCATCGAGATCACGATGAGTCCCGCTACTACAGCATATTTGACGACCTGGACTGGCAGCAAGCCCTAAAGGATCCCTCCTACGCGGAGGGTGTGGTTCGGGACATAAAACAAGTGTTACGGGGAGGAGAACCGGTTAAATTGCGTGCCCGAGAGAACCACAAACAGGACCAGCCGTTGCCCGGACGAAGAACTTTGCGAGATTGCCATTTGATGCTGAAAACATTCTACATGCAATGCGTTCGGGTAAGCCTATGTTGACATGAATATACTTTTTTGCTGTGGCGTTTATTCGAAGACGGGGGCTCCTTTAGTTTCATTATACAACAGTAGGTGTGCGGTCAGGCCTTTCAGACTCTTGCTGATATTCCTAGCGACGGTGTTGTGATTACCCCGCAACCCATGGATGAATCCTGGAAGGGTGTTCCTCGTAACATAGACGCGCATGCTGCCGCTCCAATCTATGGGACTCATAACTTGTTACCTGTTGCTGGGCCTGTTCGGACACGACCCACTAGATTCATTTTTGGGACTGACTTCTCACATATTTTCTTTTCTCGGAAAACGCTGTCTACCCAGTACTGCGCAGACCCAGCCTTGCCACCGATAGAGCAAGACGGCGAGTTCATCAGCATGGTCATGGAGCCCGCAAGGAGGTTCCAAGTGCCAGAATTTTCTTCCGAAACGGATTGGGAGTATAGAAGCAGAACACGAAAGGACGCCAGTGTCGGACAGAAGAGTTGTCTCCCTCGCATTCACTCATGTCGAGGATCTTCTTGGTAGGCTATTTGCGTGTGAGCTCGTTACATTGAAAAAAGCGCATCGCTGATTCGGTGCAACGCTTCGGCATGATTCTCCGTCTGAAAGAGGAAAGCAAACGGCCTTCTCCATATTGATCTCTACCGTAGAACGGGTGTGTCTAGGAGTGGGCGTGTCAGTAAACGACCGGCACAATCGAACAAGGACGACGTTCCAGAGCCAGACGGTGTCTTGCATCTACGGTACGTATGTCTGTAACAATTTTCAAACCTTGCAGCCATGCCACATAGCTGACCCTCTACAACAATCTCCCTCGTGAATCTCAGAAGATATTGTTCTCTATTTCCCCACCTCAAGCTTCTCCGCCGCTGGCTGTGTAGCTTAATGTGTCGAAGGTCCTTGGCGGTGCTTCTTGGAGAGAAGATGGTAGAATCGTTTTCACGCCGCTGTTCGTCATTTCGGCACGTCCGAGCGAATATTTCGGATGTATGTGCACTTCGGTCGAGAGAAAGTCACTCTGGGCTCTTTTTACCGGTGTCAAGCAGCATGGCGTGTCACTGCTGTACACCGGATATTACGACCGCTCCGATAATACCAAAAGTTGATCTGACGATTGATGTGGTACCCTCTTTGCCCTCTCGCCGAGAACAGGACACCGATAATGAGTGACAATTTTTTTGTTCTAAAGACGGCCGTCCGTCGTGGCAGATTTAGCGTTACAAGTTCCGGCCGTTCCTACCACCATATTTCGAGACCTGACAGGCCACCACGTCCTTTCACTTGGATATAGAGCCATTTGATTCTCAGCGAAGTCCGATTCGCTCCCGTTGCAATTGTTTATGCTCTTCTTTCTCGTGCCTCCCGAAAACGCACACTCCACAGCCGCTCTCTCAGCTACGGTGTCAACGCTCACTTCACCGTCCGTTGGGGCGTGTATACATTGTACACATGCCGTGCGTTCCCACAGAGCAGTAAACAGCTGCTGAGCTGTTGAGCAGGTAATACCTTTTCAAAACGACACAGCCAAGTCCCCGTTCAATGAACAGCGACACACAAAAAACGACCGCCCGTTTATTCACACGCACCATTTACTTCCAAGCGACCTCAACTTGCATAACAGCCAGGGGCGACGAATGAAAAACGTGCCACCGTTGAGCTTGCTCTCTGAGCGGCGACTTTAGGCATCACTACGCGCCTCTCCACGCCCAACAAATAAAATATAACCCCCTTCCCGACGCCTTGCTACGGCTCCTCTACCCGCCCTGCACGAAGTAGTGAATCTTGCATCTCATTCGCCTTGCAGACCCCCCCCCCCCCCCCATGGTGTTCTCTTCGCCGCGGCGGCCCCGAGCTCCATGTGCTCCAACGAACCACGTCGAGCAGCAGCCAATCGCAATTCTCGGCACCTCTAGAAGCTCCTGTATTCATTCATTCGCAGGTCAATTTTCATTCCAAGGGTGGCGAGGTGCGCAAATTGTGGAGGGTCAGGGGTCGGGGACACTGCTGCACGACGTCTCTTAAGAGGCGCGCGCGGGGGGGTGGGGGGGGGAGGGGGGCGTACTCTTATGTTTTGCATGCCTTAGCGGTTAGACCATTGACCACGCGTCCTCGAGGGGACGGAGCATTGTTCCCACAGGACCGATCACCGATGGCCAATCGTTCCTTCCTACTTTGCCAAAGGTGGCTCAAAAATGTCTTCCCTAGTCTGTCTATCCTAACGATATCCCTTCCCGCCTTTTCAAACCACTTCCTACTCCCCAGTACAGCTACCGTCTTCTCCTCTCTATTCCATGCCTCAAACGTCTCCCTGTACGTCCCTTGTATTTTTCCCAGCTCGGTCATGTACACTTCCCCCTCCTCTTCGTACCACGGACATTCCGCGACTACATGAACACGGTCTTCGCATTCGAAGCCGCAATCACATTTGAACTTGTCGTCTTCGTCGTCTACCGTCCTATGTCTTCGTCGACGTTCTCGAAGGCCTATGTCCCCGGTCCTGAATTTAACCTTAAGCTTTGTCCCTGCATCCATTGGTCCGTGTAGGTAATCCTTGAACCCTTTCCTTCTTTCAACATTCCGTGCACTTCTAGACCCTCCTTATCCTTGGTTTCTTTCCTTAGATTCTGTTCTTCTCTCGTGGCACAAGCAACAGATATCTTCTCCTTGAACCCCTGTAGACCCTCCGTTTCCAGCGTTTCATCTTCGTTGATGTCTAACCCCTTCCATACGTCCTCTACAACCTTGACCCATTCCGTGGGTTGTCTACCCCTCTTTATTGTTTGCCCACTTCGCCTCCCATACTATTCTCGGCAACCTCTCCTCTCCCATCCCGCACATGCGATACTGCCATGTCAACTTCCTTGCGTCTCTTCCCGACCGTAGGGATTGGATCCCCAATTCTGCCCTTACGGCTGCATTACTTGTGCGCTTGGAGCATCCTAGGATGATTTTCGCTGCTTTCATCTGCGCCGCCTCTAGTTCTTTCACTACCTTCTTATTTCCTTCCCATACTTCTCCGGCATACTCTAGCGGCGGTACGATTACGCTCTTCAAAGCCGCCAATTTGATGCGTGTATCGAGGTGCCGGTTTGCGAGTATTGGGTGCAGCTTCCCTGCTCGTGCTTTGCCCTTTTCCGCTACCTTGGACATGCGTGCATTCCACGAGCAGTCGTTTGCGATCTCTACTCCGAGGTATGTGTACTGGTCCACTACTGCAATCTCCTCGACCCCCCACTTCCATCTATGTTCTACTGGTTCCTCCCTGTCCTCGTTGCATACCATGACGGCACTCTTCTTAACGTTGGCAGACAATCTCCATTTATCAGTAAACTTCTTCGCCGCGTCAATTTGAAGTTGCAGTCCCTCAGGGGTTTCCGACGTACCATCAAAATCATCCGCAAACAGCATTCCCGACACCGAAGTTTCCGTGTCCCCTACTTTTACTCCCTTCCGGACTGCCTCTACGACTTCCAACAGATCGTTGATGAACATCTGGAATAATGTTGGGGACAGCGTGCAACCTTGTGGGACCCCCTGCTCAATGTCGAAGAACTTAGACAGTTCTCCGTCTAGCATGACCGCGCTTTTCGTACCCTCTGTCATCTTCTTCAGCACTCTACACATTTTCCCCTTGATCCCGTACTTGGACAATTGTTTCCACAGCCCATTTCTCCATACGGTATCGTATGCCTTTTTCACGTCCAGGAAGAAGCAGTACGTCGGCTTTCCCGCCCTCTTTCTACCTTGGATGATTCTCCCTACCGTGAATGCGTGGTCTTCGCACCCCCTCTTCTGTCGGAAACCTGCCTGGCCCTCACTAATGCCTCGTTCCTTCTCCAATTCTCCCACTATTCTATCTTTCAGCAACTTACAAAACACTTTTCCTACTGTGTTCAACAGTGTGATACCCCTGTAGTTTCCTGGGTCAGTCTTGTCTCCTTTCTTAGACAAGTTCACAATTCCTCCTCCCCTCCATCTACTTGGCGCATACTCGTTTTTCCACACCGAGTTGTACAGCAGTACCATCAACTGGATCATCCCATTCCCCCCAAACTTCATGAACTCGTTGACTATCCCATCCGCCCCTGCTGCTTTGTGGCACTGCAACTTGTTCACACACGCCTCAACCTCGTCCTCAGTGAACTCATTCTCTAGTTCTACGTTCCCAACGTCTGCCTTCGATATCTCTTCTTCTTTCTGGGCCCATTCGTCCACCTCCTTCTTAAACACTTGGTCAAAAGCTTCGTTCTCCGAAGGCACTCCAAGTCTCTTGTAGTTTCCTGCTAGAACTTCCCTTTTTCCCTTCCCACTGCTGACTAATCCACCGTTCACACCTCGCAAAGTTGCTACCCCTGTATCCCCCCCTTGCGCGGTATTTTTTACCATTCCACTAATCCCTTCCCACATCTGCTTGGCGTTCCCCTCCAGGCCTCCGTCGGCCTTCTGCACTACTTCGTCCCAAATGAATTTATTCTTTTTTTTCACTAGTCCCTTCACCTGTTTCCTCTTGGCCCTGTACGTTTCCCATCTCTCCTCAGACCCCTCACTCAGGTACTGCTTGAAGACTTCTCTACGTTCCCCTATTTCTTCTTTCAGCTCGTCATCCCACCACTTAACCGATACCCCACATCGTACCACCTTCTTTCCCACTACTCTCTCTGCCGTTGTGTTCACGATGGACTCCCATCCTTCAATCACCCTGTCCCCTGCTGCTTGTACGTCTACCTGTCCGTCTTCGACGCTTCTCAGCAGTTTCCTGAAGAGTTCTACACTACCAGCCAGTCCTTTCTGGAATTCATCCCGTGTCCCCTCGTCTCCCAAACGTTCTACTTTCCAACGGAATACTTTCCTCTGTTTCTCACTCTCCGTCTTTCTAGATCGGTCAATGTTTGCCCATATGAGAAATGGTCGGTCGAACCTATATCTATCGCACTTACGTGCAGCTCTGGGATCTGTGTGCTCCCCTATCTACCAGGATGTAGTCGAGGATGGAGTATTCATTGCAAACTGCCCTTTGCCGGGGGAACTCCGGCTTATCGCATTCCCTCCTACCGTAAAATCCATCAGCTCGTTGCTTCCCAAGAATTCATGCATCCTCACTCCGTTGCCATTCACTTTGTCTTGTCCGTGCTGCCCGATCGCCTGTCCTCTACTGGAAGCTTTCCCTACTCTGGAGTTGAAATCGCCAACCATGACAACTTCTCCCTTCCTACTAAACCCCTGGACATCTTCCCCAATTTGTGCGAAGTTTTCCTGCGCCTTGCTTGCGACTTTCTTCGACGACGGTGGGACGTATACGTTCCCTAGAAACAAAATCGTTCTCACCCCGCTCCCCAGGTATCTTAAGCCATAGGCTTTCCTCGAACTACGTTTTCACCACTACTTCCACCACGCGGGGGGGTGGGGGTGTAGAAATGTGTAGTGTCGAGGTGCCCTGTACCCAAGGGTCGTGTCTGCAGGCGGTTAAGCCTGTGTGCAGTCGGCGAGACTGAAGTTGGTATCATTGTTTCCTCAATGGGACTTTCATTATTGCCTGCCGGTGGCACCGGAGCCTAGCTCAGTTGCAGAGGTGAGATGTTGAGGGATAGTTGGGGAGTGAACCCGGTGGGGCTCGCAACACCTCGTGATCTCGCTACAAATACAATCCTCTGCTCAACCATCGATTCATTCGTGAGCTCCTCGCTAGAACTCGTCACACATGTTACGTTCTACCAAACGTCACATATCACACCGCATGTACGTATCATTGTATACAGCAATCATACAGCTGCATCTATTCTACTACACACATCCTACAGCAGTAATGCGCTGTACTTCAACAGGGGGGTTGCCTTTTTTGGGGGGGGCAAGGTATGGGAGACAGCAGGCAGGACGCAGAACGAAGGAGAAAGCCACGAAGAAACTTTCGCGCTCTCCAGTACTCCATTATTTTCACGAAGCACAACAGTAACATATGCTAAGCATCAGACAAGTTTTCGGGTCGGAGGTGCTGCGATGATTTTAGAGCCAGCCCTGCGTGGTGCTTGTTTTTTGGATGGTGCATGTACATTTCAGCACTGCTTCATGTTCGTTCGACGTGCAGTAGAGTAGAGACGCAAAATAAAGCGGTAACCGCATGGCACAGCAGCGGTGCAAAAGTGTACCAAAAATAGGCTGCGGTTGTGGAGGGGATTGAATTTTCACTTGTTTTTTTCGTGCCGAGGGCAAGACGAGGCGGAGAATACAAAATTCAATGTGTTTATCGTGCTTTAACAAGCCTCTCGGATTGCTGTGTGGCATGATATGCTATGCGAAAACAGAGAAAAACACAAGGGGAACGCAGCGAGAGCACACAGGGCATTACTAGTAAACGAAAAATTGCATTTGTTCGTTGAGTGCAGACACGGTTGACTTATTTTTTGTGAAGGCATGTGATAGGAGAGGGGGCGCTGACTTTAAAAAAACCGGCATATATATTTTTTGCGTTTCCTCGCTCCTGGCTGCGGATGCCCTTTGGTGCAGGCAGAACAAACAAACCTTGCGCCCTCAGCAAGGTTCGAAACGCACTCCACACGCCTAGTGCACCACACAGCAAAAAACGGCGACCCAATTTGCTGCAGTGAGGAAGCAGAGACTCGATCAGCTGCTGGTCGACGGGCAAGGAACGGCCGAACAGTCCGATTTTACCTCGATCCTAGGGTGTGTGAGGGTGTCGAAACCGCAGCAGGGGTAGAAATCCGTCTCACCTGGGCTTGTCGGCGTGCAGTCGAGGCCAGCTGCGGCGTGCCGTGAGATCAAAGCCCAGCAGCAACAAGCAAGCCGACGAAGAATGTCCCGCCCATCCCCGACGGAGCACGCCAGAGTTCACAGCCGGCTTAGCCGAGCTCCCAGAACACGGCAGCATCGGGGAAGACTCTCCGCACCTTCTCGCATACGCCACAGGATGAGATCTCCAAGGGCTGCTACCGTAGTTGACACCCGCTGCGATCGAGGCTGGCGCGTATAGCCTCGATTTCAGGCCAACCAGGCCCCCAGCGGCACACCGCTCACGCTGCTGGCCTCAGAACGCGAAAGAAACTGGTCGCGGGGGATTGCTCCCCGTGGTGCTGGGACACGCTGCCGCCCGGATTTTCTTCTGGCAAGGCTATGCTCGGGGAGGACTGGAAGCTGCTGGTCTCCACTTTTCGGGCTCCTGATGAGGCATGTATCCTTCGCGCAACTTACCAACGTGTGCTTGGGCTACGGCTGGTCAACCCACAGGCGCTTTTCAGCTACAGCACCCCTGTGGATTGTGTGGAAGGGGTCGCCCCCTTTTTCTGGGGTGGCATCACCGTCTCCGCTGTTATCGTGCATGGCACGGAGACGAATATTGTTTCTCTCTGCACTGCGGAAATTTCTCTTTTCGGCAGCAGGAAAATCATCTTGAAAAAAGAAACGTCCGAAAAACGTGCGTCTCTCAGCTGAAACTCCCTGTACACAACGACGCACAACATGAAGAAGTCAAGAATTCCAACGCCAACAACCTTCGTCTTGTGACTCGCTTCACTCAGCGTGGCGGCAAAAACCGAAGAAAGTCCTCCTGCAAATGAAATGAACCTATCGGCCACCACCTACTGTACGGATACTCTCCCACCAAAAGCAACCAGTGAAGAGTCACCACGTTGTCATGAAGGGGCCACTCGTCGTCTAAAGTACATGATACACCGACAATCGATTCAGCGCCAATGGTTGGCCGAAACCAGAACTTGGCAACGAGGTGGCTGGTTTTGGCTATTATTACGCCGCGATTCTCGAGCATCAGAAGCGGTTGTCATCTGGCGGTGGGCTCCGTCTACCGAACGCTTCATGTCGTACATTCAGTGACCTGTCGCCCTCCCCACCTCAAGATCGCTGCCGCAAGCACGCCACGTCGCTGTTTCCGTAGCTGCAGGGTCGGCAACATAAGCATCAGCGGTGGTCCAGCATGGCCGATGAGGGGAGCGTCGCTTGCCCACATCCAAGACACCCTCGATTTCCAACAGCAGCAGGCGACCGATGGCCTCCAGCATGTACAGGTGCTCCTCCGTAGCGGGCGTGCCGTTCGCTAAAACCTTCTCACGGATGCACGACGTCACGACAGCCAGAGGCGTCCCGGAGTATTCCTGTTGTCCATTCGAATTTGTGACTCGAACAGCCGATGCCACATCTGCTCCCGCGTCAAATAGCAAACGTATGATCCTGGCGGCGTGCGAACAGCACCGCTGAATACTATGAGCCAGGGGCGTCCAGCCGTCAGTGTCGCTGGCGTTGACGTACGAGTATTCAACGCTCCGTGTGCTCTCGTGGTACCGTTGCCGCAAGAGAAACTTGACGGATGCCTCAAGGGCACTTTCGGCGGCACCCAAGAGAGATAGGCCCACCCAGTCCACCACGCCTGCTCCAGTCAGAATGGCCATGATGACCAGGTGTTGTTCCGACGCAGCAAAAAAGAGCGCTTGACAAGCTTGACTGCCGGCATTTGCGACACCACAACCTCTCCACTGGACTAGCTTGCGCACCACGTCCGAGTGCCCATTTTGGACGGCTACGTCCATTGGGATGGCAGTATCCCCCGATGATGAATTCCCTTTTTTGGTCAAGAACGGGTTCGCCTTCCCACGAAGCAGCTCCCCCGTCGCGTTCGCGGGTCCGAACTGAGCCGCGATGTGCAACGGTGCCGCTCCGCATAACATCCGACTGTTGGGATTCGCGAGTGCCCTGATCATCACTCCCACCACTTCAGATCTCCCTTCTAATGCGTCCTTGTGAAGCGGTGTGGAGCCTTGAGATGTCATGACCTCGAGGTCGGCACCAGCCCCGATCATCAGCACAGTATTATAGTGCAGCATGGATGGCCGTGTGACTGCTGTCGACGGCCACCATTGACACGTTGGCTCCGTTGGCGATCAGGGCCTTTCCTATGCGGAAGTTACCCACGTGAGTGGCCATCATCAGAGGAGTGACCCAACGCTGAGCATCGCCTTGGTCGATGTCAACCGATCCTGCTCTTTGCAAGCACGAACGGCTAGAGTGCGCCGCTCTACATACATAGGGAACCAGCAAGGAAGGGCAGCAGTGTGTAGTGGGTTCAAATGCGCTCGACGCCACCCACGCGCGTTGTTAGCGAACGGGTCCATTATGTGCTGCCTCTGATATGGCTGTGCTGTTGATTCGAATGATGCAGCAGCAGGAGCTTATAGAAACCAGCTGGTATACCCAGTCAGGGCTTCTGTTGTGGACTGTGCGGTCACATCTCGTGCGGTGTTTGTAGGAAGCTCCGCAGATTGGAATAGAAATTCGCTGGTATACCCCTGCGCCGAACCTGGTGCTCCTTGTGTACACAGTAGTTCCGCCGCAATTGCAGCTGTGGGTGGTGTCATGTTCCACCTCCACCCGACGTAGGCACTGCTGTAGAGCCTGCACCGCCGTATTCTTCACGACAATCGGCCGCTTACCGCGAATGCGCGTGCTGTTCCTCTCGGGTAGGGTGTCGTCGGCATCGCTAGCGTTCCAGAGCTGCGGAAGAAACATTGCCAGTAGATCATCACCGTCGATACTGCCAACCGGCAGCTGTTCCGCGAGAGCCGCGTCGTTGGTACCCCTGCTGTCGAAACAACGAGCAGAGGCGGTCGGGATGAGTTCTGCTGGCGGATCGAGCGAGCTGAGCACTTCTTCCGCTTCACCAAGCGTTAGGACCGAATCGGATGCATTCGGGGAGATAGCCGTGGAGGACACCCGGTACTGGGGAGCCCAGACCCAGCGCAGCCTCATGAACTTCCCGATCGGGGGCAGGGAGTCTCGCATGCCAATCGAAGTCATCCAAGGTACGGACCAAAAGCTAACGTGCAGCTCCAGCTGCATCTGGTTCATGGTGCACTGGCCGTGCCTCTCTCATACAAGTATCATATTGGTCAGTAGGTTCAGTGTCCACAAGCAGCGGCGTTGATGTTTTTTTTTTTTTTTGCGGCTTGGATTTCTGGAAATCCACGATGTCGATGTTGTAGCGCGCACCGTTTTGCAACCTGTGATACATACGATACATCGCCATACACGAAGTTGCATGGGCCATCCAGCACCTACGTTTTGCGCTTGTTCCAACGCGAAAAAGTCTGGAGCTTGTGTCTGTTGCCTGCGCACATAAGAATGCCTCTTTTCCGCGGTTCCAAAGGAGCCAGTTGGTGCACTACTCTGTTTCAGTACGCTACCGTATGTTTCAGTGTTTAGGTACGTTGCACTGCAAGCATCGGCAGCAGTTGTGCTCGAACGAACAATGATAGCTTCATCATCGCCGCTAAATATGCATGCCTGCAACATTACTTGCACAGGGTTGATCTTGCTCGTTCTGGTACTGGAGTACATCACGCGTCCCAAACATAAACTAGCTTGTAGCGAGGAGTATATAGAGCCAGTGCATAACCGGTCGACAAATGTCTTCAAGTCGCTTGAATGCTAATTCTCATGATGAGGCATTCGCGACTTTGTTGGAAACAAAAACGTCCGTCGTAGTGACCGTCATATGCAGGAGGCATTAAACTTCGTTTGTTGATGTGTGCCCCACATACCGGCGGGATCTACATACCAGCGGGATCTTTAGTACGTGCAAGGTGAATTTACCGATTTCGCCCGCTTGTGAGCTGGGGTTTTTGGGAGTACTAGTGGGATGCCGCGTGCCCTTGTGGGTCGTGTGGAGCCGGATAGTGAACACCGGAGTATCGGATGATGAAATGAGCTGCCTAGACCGTAGCTTGTGCATAAGAAGCAGCAGCGCAGAACCTAAAGATTGATAAACATGGGTGCCGTGTAAATAATCAAACTTCCGTTAAGACCAGAGAGAGAGAGAGAGAGAGAGAGAGAGAGAGAGAGAGAGAGAACACCGCAACGGGCCCCAAGAACCCGGACGGTGTCCGATCTCTCAGGCTGTTTTGTCTTACTTCCAGGTAATGGCGCACGCGATCGGCAATTGTGTTTGGCCAACATTTGATCGAGCGGGCATCAAACAAAGGTAGCTCTTAACAGTTCCTGTTCGTCCATTTTTCGGGTTGATCTTCGCACTGACAGGTCGATCTTTGTTGGAAGATGAATGAGCGCATAGTGATCGTCAGCGCTTTCAAACTTTGTACCTTGATCTTGTGAGTCCTCTATCCAGTTCCTCTATTCGGTCTCTACTGTACGGCCTATTCGACGACTATCGACCTTCCGCTTTCATTCGCTCACCTAGAATCAGAGGAACGCATGCACCGAAGACACATGAGTAAGGCGCGGAGTTCGTTTTTGAGTGCCACAATGAAGCTCGACACATCGAGGATACCCCGTGCTCGTGAGAAGACAAGCATTGCATTGCACGCTTATTCGAGTTGTAGCAAATACTCTGCGTCAGGAATAATTGCTTTGGCCCCATGTTTCGCACTTCGAGTCGTGCTCACAGGGTGCTCACAGGATGGAAATAGTTGCTGCTTTGAGGTGCGACGGCCCCCTGATTCATTTTTCTTCCCACGTGTCTGCCCTGTTTGGTGACCGGCCAATGGCAGGGTTCGGTGTGCTGAAGAAGTGCTGCGCTTTGTACAGCATGTCCAAGGGAAAGCTGAACAAGGATGTGGGGGAGGCCATCGTTGAGGCTGCCGATGAGGTATGTTTGATGTGGATGTCGCTAGTGCGTGGCTGCCGTTTTGTTCCCAACGGTGCGTTTGTCGTTTTGTTTTGTGCGTTGGTTGGGATCTTCTCCTATGGCTCGCCGTGTCGGGTGAGCCAAGGGAGTAGATTCTGACCCTCTGACCACTAATTATGTTTCATCTCTTTGGCTCGTTTCATGTCCGTCGCGGTGGTTGTCAGCACGGGCGGCGGGTGTTCCGTGTCTGTCATGTGTCTGATGCTTCCCGCGAGCAACACATCGTAGTACATATCCGTCCTGCTCTGAAGCGCTTGGGCGGTTCGTTTCCGCACGCTTCGGCTACTCTATCACTCTTGAAGCATGTCCTTGCGTTTCAGGCTGTGAATCCTCTTCCAGTTCTCGGGTCAGGACCACCAGTTGTCGACAACGGTGCAGTTTTCACCCGCTGCTGTACCCTAATCTTCCTCTATCGACCCGCAGAAAAGAACCGACCCACAGAAAAGAACCGACCTGCAGAAAAGAACTGTGGAAAAGAACAAAGCGAGCAAAGGCGCATTTTTTCAAACGCAGGTGATTCGGGGAAAACTGGACGACCACTTTCCGCTGGTGGTGTTTCAGACCGGTAGCGGCACCCAGACCAACATGAACTGCAACGAGGTCATATCAAACAGGTATGTGTTGCTTGAATCCTTCCCCTGATGCTTCTACTCCCGTCGTAGGAGTCTCGTGTCCTCCCAGGTTGGTGGTGTTGCCTGCCAAGTACGCCTAGGCCGCGTTCAAACATTCACGGCGGGAAGGTACGAACCGAATGAACAAAGGCAGCGCTGCTAGTGAGTGATGATCTTGTCCAGGAACTGTAAGGGTTTCGTTTATGCATGCCGTTGATGCGTTGTGAGGGTGGAGTGGATGCTACGAAGGAGCCGAGAGTGTGTACGATCTGCGGTGTGATAGCGCCTTCAATCGAGTTTCCGTTTCGTTTCGTGGTACTTGTTGCGGGGAAAGTTTTTCCGCACACTTGCAGATGCGGTTTCGCGGACGTGTCAGACATGCTTGCGCTCGTTGGCTTATTGTGAGCTAAGGTTAAGTGGTGTTTTTTGCGATCCAACTCAATCATTTTTGTCATTGGTTGTAATACGCTTACTTACTCACCAGGGCGATCGAGATCCTTGGAGGTGTGAAGGGCAGCAAGAAACCGGTGCACCCGAACGACCATGTGAACATGGGTCAGTCTTCGAACGACAGCTTCCCCACAGCCATGCACATCGCGGCAATAATGCAGGTGCGAGTATGTACGTTTGTTCGCATTCGGACTCAGGACAAAGCCGTGTTCTCCTAGCCCTGTGAGTCTAAGAGTGCACCCGAAATTTTGTCGCAGTAGCAGAGGCAGGGGTCGCAGCTTTTGTTGCTGGTTGGGAGGCCGCTGGGAGTACGCAGGCGTGCACCGCCTTTGGTCGGAGGTATCCCCCGTTTGAGATTGAAACGCTGCGTCGGGATCGCCCTGGAAAGTGGCATCGTAGTTGTTGTATGGCACGAGTGACCCACGGTAGAGAACGTTCCCGCCAAGAATCTGATCCAGCGTCTCTGTTGCTAGGTGTGTGCAATGTTTTTTACAATGTTTTACTTGTACTATTTCCTCTAGAAAGCAAGCGGCACACCTACCAGATAGTAAGCATCGGGTGTGGTTTTGTTCGTGCTGGCTCGGGACTGTACAGGCACATGGCGTTCTCCTGCCGGGGCTCCGCGAGCTGCACGACGCGTTGACTGCGAAGGCCAAGGAGTGGGAGAAGGTCATCAAGATCGGGCGGACTCACACGCAGGACGCGACTCCTCTGACTCTCGGCCAGGAGTTCGGGGGCTACGCCGCTCAGGTACGCTTCGTTGTCGTTGTGGTGTTGGGGAACTTGGATACCCGAAATGTGGTCCGAGCGTTTGTAGTTTCCGGTGTGGCTTGTGTCGTGGTTGAGCCTGTTGAGCTTGAAACCCAAACTGGTGCGGCCTTTCATGCGTACAAGCGTAAGGCGCTCCCGGCATCAGCAGCGTAATGTGCGCGATGATTGCACTAGCGTATGCAGCCCCTGGTTTGATAGACGATAACTTTGTGGAACAAGTATGACGCGACACCTAGATCATCTGCCGGTTGCTGTTGTGACGGACGTTCTTCGAGCTCCTACATCCGCCATGACGACCGCCATACCGTGCTTACGTTCTCGAGGTGGAGTACGGTATCAAGCGTGTGGAGAACACCTTGCCGTCGCTTTACCGCCTGGCCCTGGGCGGGACCGCTGTTGGCACCGGCCTCAACACCGCTATGGTAAGCCTTCGGTGCAGTTGCCGCATTGTTTCCACATGGGATTTGTTGTTTCTCGTTGTGTTCGTGTATGCGCTACGTCGGACTTTAGAATTCATGGCAATGTTTTGATCGTTGTGTTGGGTACGCGGTATTTCGGGTTAGGCTTGATTTGGTCCAATTTCTGCTTCCTGCATTGCTACGTTTAAGGGCACCATCACGAATTGGAGTTGCTTTGTGCTCGTTGTCCGAGCTGGGATTGAGATTGCCTGTCGTAAACAAAGAGACGAACGAGCACATCGCACGTTTTATCATCCCGTGACCATCGCGGAGTGAGGAAGGAAAAGGAATTGTGGCTGTTGTCTGCAAGCGGAAAGTATTCATTCTGTTGGCTCTTCGCCTCGAATAGCTTCACTTCTTCCTAGTTTTGCCACGACACCAGCATCCGCAACGACGAAGATAAGGAGAACTACAAGCATCATCGCCTCGTTGGCTATCCCGCTGTTGCAGGGTTACGACGAAGAGATCGCGGCGCTTATCGCCGAGGAGACCAACCTGCCGTTCGTCACGGCACCCAACAAGTTCGAAGCCCTCGCTGGACACGACTCCATCGTCGAGGCCAGCGGAGCCCTCAACACTCTCGCCTGCTCGCTGATGAAGGTGTGCCCACGTTCCAATCGCGGTGTTTGGAAGTTTGATGGCACACATCCTTGAGAACATGTTGGCAAACACTGTGTTTGACTCGTTTGATGTGATTTTGAATGAGTGTAGACGAGGACCTCGTGATGTACTGTCCTTGAAGAGGAGTTACATTCCATACTTTCGCCCTCTCGCGGTAATGTGGCATAGGGCAGTCACCCTGACTGCCAGACCTGCCCGGGCTTGGTCGCACACGAAACCCCTGAGACATTTGTTTTCCGGTTGATTGCTCCGTGCCAGAGAGGTTGCGGTGTTCCGATAGTAGAGGATAGGATAGACACCTGCGGCCGTAGCGGGCCCCATGCCGAATTGCGTCACCTGATATACTGCACTCCGATGATTTTGTTTTTGCGATGCTCGCACCTTGTGGTACTTCGTATCGAAGGTGCGGTATCTTGCACGTAAATTGTTTGCTGGGTTCACACCGAACCTTAATAAAATGCTACTAGCTGATACTTCCTACTAGTTGTTGAGGGAGTGTTCAAATGTTGCCTAATAACCCGGTTTGAGGTTCGGAGACGAAGAGCTTGACGGCATGATGATGTGGTGTGGCAAGTGTCCCATCGTGTTTGTATTACTCCGGAAACATCCCCAGCGAAGAGGCAGAGAATCACTCCGCGCAGAAGAAATTTTTAGCGAAAACGTTCACTGGGGGCTGTGCAGGCGGGGTTTGCTTGGATTGTGTCGGTAGCAAATCTTCGTTCCTCAGGCGGCGTGCAATCTTTTTCCTCCCGTCCCATGACACCGCAGATCGCGAACGACATCCGCTTCTTGGGGTCCGGGCCACGGTGCGGCCTAGGGGAACTCAGCCTCCCGGAGAACGAGCCAGGTGGGTTTCGGTTGGTTGCGCCGCACAAAACTAAATTAAGGGTGCATTCAGCATGCGCCCCTGTGACGGACTTCACTCCTATGACAGTGCCGAGATCACACCATGGCTGGTGTAGCCAGAGCCCTTTCGGTGCTGTGGTCAATGCTGTGTTGCTCTCGCTGGCACCGTACTCCAACATTGCTCGGGTGCGTTTGTTCGATCTAGAAACCAGTTGGCGTGTTTTCGTGCCGTTTGTCAAGCTGTATGCATACCGCGAAACTTCGGGTAACATTGGGGTAAAACCCAGCTGCTAAGGGAGTCTACATCATCCTCTTCGTTCGGCTGTGTCCTGTTCATGGTCCTACCGAACATTCATGTACTCGTGGCATCTCCCCCACCCTGCTTATTACTTTTTCTTGTGATTGCAGGCTCATCGATCATGCCTGGTAAGGTGAACCCCACGCAGTGCGAGGCGTTGACCATGGTCTGTGCGCAGGTGAGAGCTGCAAGAGACGTCTTGGAACGGCGCTACGATTTTCAAAACGGATGGTGTTGCAGTCCTCGCTAGTATGTCTCGCCGTGTATATGGCCAACCTCGTTTTAGCCTTTGTTACTTAATCTCCTTGAACGGCCATGTCTCACTCGACAGGTAATGGGAAACCACGTGGCGGTTACTGTCGGAGGCTCGAACGGGCACTTCGAGCTCAACGTTTTCAAACCGGTCATGGTGAGATTGCAGGGTTGGCGCGGAGCACAGGGATGGGTAGGTTGCAGGGTTTTCGCAACGTATTCCCCCGAAGACTGACAGATTGCTTCTTCATGCGTACCGTAGCGGCGGACCATAGGGGTTTCTGCATCTGTTTTGGCAGTTGCTGTCCTTGTCGTCGCCGCCGCCCCGCCGTCGACGTTGCCGCCGTTGTGCTGCGTGATATTGTTGGTGACTAAATGTCATCATTCACGGGTCTGTATTTTTAGTGAGACCTTTCAGGCATCCCACGCTGGTTCCACTAAATTGATGGTGTTCGCTGCGGCACGTTTCTAACGTCACAATGATTTCCGACAGAACAGGGAAGTGAAAACTTCGATTCCTGTCCGAACACCGGCGTTGAGTGCCATCTGTGTTGCTGCTGGACGCGTCACGCATCGCTCGCCTCGCTGTGCGATAATTCCGCCAGGTGGCCAACCTTCTCTCATCGATGCGACTGCTGGGAGACAGCTGCTCTTCGTTTGCGGAACGCTGCGTGTCGGGTACTGTTGCGAACCGGTGGGTGACGACTGTATTTGTTTTCGTCTTTTTCCTCATTTGTGCTGTGATCCGAGTTGTTTACTCATAGTGCTATGAACTCTGTGACAATGCCCCTCCGTCTTAGGGTTAGGGTAGGGGTTTCGGAATGTACCGAGGCACTTTTGTTAAATTCGTCCTTCGTATTTGCCGGCCGTTCGCGCAGGTTATTTGTACCTAATTTGACATGTCGACGTCATTTTTGGGTTATCACGGCCCTTAACTCCGAACCTCTTATCTTTTTCGGCCTTGACAAGTTCCAATTTTTTTGTTTTTTTTAATGTGTGCCGTACGTCCTGACGCCATCTGTTCGCCGGTTGCAGAGATCGCATCCAGGAGATCATGTCGACGTCGCTTATGCTGGTAACGGCGCTGAACCCCAAGATCGGCTACGATAACGCCTCCAAGGTGCGTGAACCGCCCCACGAGTCAAGTCATTATCACCGTTTTATGCCCGGCACATGGGGTTTCTCTCCCTCTCATCAACGAGTGCAGGGCGGATGCATGATGTTCCAGTTGCCTCTATTGTTTTTTTCATGCCCGCCAGTACAAGCGTGCTTTACTCATAACTTGCGTGAGAACTTGTTATCCCCATTAAGAATCCTTCTACATAAGCCCATTGTGTTCCATGCTACACCAAATGTCACCCGTTACAGAAGCGCTTCACCAGTTTCGTAGTTCACCCTATCCCCGGCCCTTGGGCCCTACTGTTGATGGGAGGGGGCATGGAAGGCGCTCAGCTGTTGGCTGCCACCGCAACTTGCCAACCCTCTCAGTGCTCCAACGCCTGTATACGTGGCGCGTTTCGCAATTCATGGTGTTCGTTGAAGACGTTAGAGGGCTAAGGCACACAGCGCGCGCACAAACACACACACACATGATCTTCGGGCGAAATTAATGATGGCTATTTCGACCGCGCAGTGAACGCATACCGTGCTTGCTGCCTACCTCAGCATTCGAGTGTCCGTTTGGGGACGTGACCCCGAGGCAAAGCGCCGTAGCGTCCTTTCTCATTCCGGGGTCGAACCGGGGCTGCCCACGCAATTCATGACAAAATACCATTTATTAACAACACTTTTGTTCGTGTTACGGTCTGAGGCTGCAACGCACATTGTTGAAGAGCCCGTCTGTGCGAAATGAGGGTGCCCACGTGCCTCTGAAACGATGCGTAGGGCTCCTCCACCCGCACCTGCCCCAAAGCTTTCACTTGAGAGCTACAAGGTGGACGGCAGGCTTCTCCAACTAAACAAGTGTCGCTTGTCCTTGGCCAATGAAGCTCACGACCTCCTCCTATTGTCAGTAGCATGAACCAACTCCGCTTTCCCTGGGCCTTCGTTACGCCGACGCCATCATTGAAAAAGGTTGCCAAGAAGGCTCATAAGGAAGGCACCACTCTCAAAGAAGCCGCGTTGGCGCTGGAGCTCCTCACGGAAGAGGAATTCGACGAGTGGGTACGGCCGGAGAACATGATCGGACCCAAGGCCACATAGGTGCCGGGCGGGGACTGGGGATGCGAAGAGGCGCCTGCCTTCCACGGGAAACATTCGGAGATGTCGTCGTCGTTGTTTGGGTTGGTTGTAGGTCGTCGGGGGATGCTTTCGTTGTTTCTCGTGTTGCGCAATCTTTGCTTTTTCGTCACCTGCTTTCCCTAGTGTCAGAGAGAGAGGGAGAGAGAGAGAGAGAGAGAGAGAGAGAGAGAGAGAGGTGTCCCAATTGCCTCAATCGCTTGCGATGACTGCGGTAGAGTTTTCTAAGGGGAGGACTCAACTACAAACCACTAGATAGACAATTGATACTACAGAGCACCGTGTGCATGTGCAGCAGGCTTGGCGTCAGTGGCTTTGTGCGCTCGCCTCCGAATCGACCGTGGGAGTCCATTGTTTGATGCACCCTTGGATTTTCGCCTGAAGTTGTACTCGGAAGTCGACACATTTTGTCGATGAATAGATTTTCGGTAACTTGCCGAACAACCCTGGCGCTTGTTGTATCCTGTTCATTGTGTTCGTCAATTTGCACGCGTTTCTATTATTTTGTTGCAATGCATCAGACGGGCTCACACGCACATCACTATATCTGCATTAGTCTGGAGAGAGAGACTAAGGGCGCTTTGATGAAAGAGGTTCACAAGGAACATCAGAGCGAACAACAAAATTCTATTGAGCGAACACACACCCAACGCGCTACCTACATGCCGCAATTACTACAGAAACACCGGGGTAAGTGGTGTGAGTGTCGGAGTTTTGTGCTAAAATATGCACAATGTGTTTGTAGGGATACTCAGCACTGGATACTGATCAACAGGGATTTAGGGGGTTTCGTGTATCATTGGCGGTATGTGTTGGTAGAGGGGCGATCCCCTTCTGCTGTGCATGGGCTAGTATGCCCGGCGCACTGAGTCAATCTTTCTTCTCTGCGCCTTTGACAACAAGCTGCCCGCCTCCAAGCACAAGTACCGGGAGGCAAACGTTGGTACAGGTAGCTACAGCTGTGTTCTCATCGCTGTTCGAAATTGATATTGACAGATTTTGACAACAACCGATGGGGCAGCAATCACACGCGGGACACAATAGACAAAGAGGAGACCGTTCCCCGACAAATGTCTGTACATGTATGTATGTAGATACCCACAGCGTTTCGCGGAACCAACCTCCACACGTCCTTGTTTCAAATCAAGACGAAAATTCGACCAGTCTGCATTCAAGACAAAACATATACAGCGGGTGCTCAAGCAGGGTCAAAAAGAAGGATGTGGAATCATCTTCTGTGCAAGACGCTCACGACAAGAACCCGTGAGCGTGGCGATAATCCATGAGAGCGTACACGCCCGACACCCTGAATCAACGTGACATGTCAACCAATCAGCGATAAGCACACCGAGCGAGTGGCGGTTCTGCAAACTGCGTCACCCCCTGAGATGTTCCGTGCGCGGTTTGATGAGCTGCGAGCTGCACAAGTACAGTAGCAGCACAGCTGTGTGCTGCTGCACAGACGGCCGCCTGAGGAACAGTAAGCTTAGCAACAATCCCGCAGAATGGGCGCCGAGAAAGAGATCGTCAACGCTGCGGCTCTGGCGAAGGGAGTGGAGATTCTCGGCGCTGGGTTGACGAGCTTCGAGTCGTCGACCCGGCAGATGAAGGGGATATGCGAGGACTTCGAGGGCAGGCTCGGCAAGCTTGAGCGGGAGATGCTTCCCATGAAGGAAATCAGCGCGAAGCTGAGCACGTCGCGACGAAACATCATCAGTGCCATCGAAAAGGTGAGAGTCCCTGCCGTTAAGGATGTGGTCGGGTGATTGTGCGGAGTTTCATGGCACTTGTTGATAAGGTCCGGCCGCACTGCTGTTCCACCGCACTATGCATACCGCACTTCACCGTTGAGGGTTGTACGATGTACAATGGTTGTGAAGTGCAAGCCAAGGCACCACCCATTCTCTGACTTCTCCTGGGGTTGTCGCTTGGGCGGGGTTGTCAATCATTCCATGCTGCACTTCGCAGCAGAGGTTAGAGAGGACCAGAGAGAGAGAGATAGAGAGAGAGAGAGAGAGAGAGAGAGAGAGAGAGAGAGAGAGAGAGAGAGAGAGAGAGAGACGGACAGAATCAGGTGATGAGGCCCCTGTCTCCTGCTGGCGACGTGAACACGTTGAGGGATAGCACGTTGGTCGCCACTTGCGTTACTCTCAAGGGCACAAATGTCTAGAGCAATCGATGTATGTACGATGCAGACGACGGCAATGTGCAATGTTGGTACTGTCCGCTTTGTCCGGTGCACTCCTGCTGTATGCCGTAAGAGGCGGAGAAACGGCACCCCCCCTACAGTAGAGCGATTCTCAAAGCTAGATTGCTCCATAACCCAGATTGTGCCAACACCGAAAATGGTGGTTTTGGAAAAATCGGGCTTTTCGTAAATGTATCGGGCTCTTTCCGCACTCCCTTGGTCGAGCAATGGAACTTCGAAAGGCGGTCTGGGGGGATGCCATTCTCTCCGCCTCTTACGGTATACAAACTCCGACGGGACACCGGCCGCGTGTAGCCTGAAAAGGCGGCGGTGGTTTTCCTAGTCCAAACGGGCGGGAGGAGGTTGAGGTGGAGGGGGCTTGGAGATATGACCGGCAACACCAAGCTTATCCGGAAATGATAACGCCTGTCCGCCGCGACACTCGTGCACAGATGGAGAGCATCAACGAGTGCTTCCTGCTGGAGAAGGAGCTGAGGGGCGTCGTGCAGAAGGGCATGCGCGGCAACGTCGGTGCCGTCGAGTATCTCGAGGAGGTAGGTACATGGTTGAGAGGAGGAAACACGCAAAACACACTGCTGGCGATGAGAGCAGTGGGCACAAGGAGGATAACGGAACCAGCAGCAGTGCGCGGAGGGAGCCCAAAACGAAGACGAGTAGATGTATGCGTTCAACCCGGAGAGAAGGCCTAGCCTCGCCCGTGATCCACGGGTTCCCCATTCGCAGGACCTGCATAAGGGTTTTCCTCTTCCTACCCCGCACTGAAACTGATGTGTTCTCGTTGGTCAGGCAGTTGGAGCGGTCGATGCTTACAATGAAAGACACAGACGCACAAACACTGACAACCTTGCGCAGTCCGCGGGGTTACGGGATAACTCGTCTCCAACAAGCCCAGGCACGATTTTTTCTCGTCGAACATGCGGCGTAATTGTGTCGTGGTGTGTCGCAACCGGGCGCAGATGCGGCGCATCGACGACGCCATCGCGTACTTCCGAAAGTGGCCCAGCCTCAAGTCGCAGAAGGAGGCAATAAAGGGGCTGGAGGAGCTGTCCAGCATGGCCGCCAAGGAGTGCATCGACGAGTTTAACAGGCTCATGCGCACCGTCGGGCCCGCTGTCCAGTTCCAGGTACTGTAGTAGGGCTTAACGACCCTGTGCGTATGGTGCGTAGAATGTTTGATATCGGGTTCGCCTGTGTCCAAACGCAAGCTGGTTTGCCGAACATCGGTCGGCCGGAAGCGACGACGACAGCTTTCTTGGGCAGCAGGGTCCAGAGCGATCGTCTTTTCGAGCATGCCGCCGTCGTAGCTGACCATAGCAATAACACCCTACAGCACGCGGGTTGTGTTATCCGTCACGAATGCACACCACAGCAGAAAGTGGAACATGATTTTGGTGTCGACCTCTCGCGGGGGAAGGGTTCGAAGCGTCTGGTGACCGGTCGACTTGGGCACACATTGTTGGCGTGCTAAATAGGTATCACGTTCCCCAGCTAACAGCATACCGCCCACCCAGTTAGCACCATGAAAGCACATAGACCCACAACAGTAGGCAGTAGCGTCATGGCCTTCGCAGATTGTTGCCGTGATCGCAATGCACAGCAGTTTCACTTAGTGGTATTGCCAGCCGACGTCAGTCGTTTCCCGCGGTGAAACTGATGACCTTCAACTTACGTGAATGTCTGGGATTCGAGTCTGCGCAACTATCCTAAACGGAGGGGCGCGAACCAACCAACAGTTCGTGAGGCTCCTCTGTGTTCTTCGTCGTATTTTGGAGTGTGCGCAACGCTTTTGGCGGAACTTCAAACGGTCTTTGGCGCCAAGGGGTGCGAAATATCCCGACAGTTTTTTGCCTGACGGTTGTACGCCTTTGGTTTCACTGACATTTCCATCCGCTGATGTCCTCGCTGCGCCTTTCTTGCCCGCGCCTTCCTTGCACAAAACACCTTTTACCCTGGCGGTAACATCTTCGCGACAAAATTGGATCGAAACGCATGGGAACAGACGCAAACCAACACGTTCGAGTCGGTGAACACGTTGAGTGACAACGTGGCCCAGAGCCTCGCGGCCATCGGGGAGTGCCTCACGCTCCTCAGACACAGCGGACAGCTCCGGCAGAACTACACCGCCGCGAGAAGGTGAGTGCACTCGAGAGCTCTCTCATTTTCTCTCTTTCGTTTTCGTCTGTTTCTTTGTTCCTTCGTTCGTTTATTCGTTTGTTTCTTTGTTGCTTTGCTCCTTTCTATTTTTCGTCGTGTCCTCTCTCACCCTTCCGTGCATTCTCTCTCCCATTCGTGTGCTTACCGGTACATTTCGCAAGCGCATTTCTCGTTCTCTCTCTCTCTCTCTCTTTTGTATGGGTGACGTTCTCTTATTGCTGCGATCAGTCCCCCGGTCGTTGGGCCGGGTGTTGAATGTGCGTCTATCCCGTTTTTTAACGGAATAACTCCATGCCCGGGAGGATCTTTGTCTTTCCTGATCCCCTGGATCCCGTCTGGGTTTGGATGCACCCCCATTTTTTCTTCTGCGCAGAGTGGCGGTAAAGACAGCCTTGGATAAGTGGGAGTCAAAGTTCGAGATCACCCCCAAAGGGCAGCAAGCACGAGGAGGGGGGCCCTGGCTAAGGTAGGCGGAAAATTCGCGACATGGTATATATGGTAGTATTAATCCTTACGTGACTACAGGCCGATTCAGCTCCGTTCTCAGCTCCGATCACTTTACGTGCCGAAAGATCGCCGTTGTGCCTCGGCTAAAGAGCAA